CGGATGTGGCTTTGCGCTGGGGAAGGACACCGCTGCGGGGCTGCAGCACCGCTGTCACATGCGCTGCCCTGGTCTTTGGGCAGGGGCTGGGCTGGGGACAGAGCGGCTGGGGACAGAGATCCGGGTCTTTTTCCCCAGGAGCCTGAGCAATGTGTGCGTGATTCCCGGGGAAGGGAGGGGAAGCGATTTCTCCACAGACACCCTGTCTCGCAGGCTGCCTGCTGTGCCAGCCTGCCTGTGTCAGACGGTGGTGGTGATGAAAATGAGGGCTCTTTGTGCTGGTTTCTAGAATTTCAGGTGCAGATCCTGGGGGAATTTGGAGGCAGGGACCTGTCTCTCTCAAACGGGAGTTAAGGAACTGGCGTGTGTGCTCTGACTAAGCTTCAGCTATGGCTCCTTCTGTTGCCAGCAAAAAAGCTTCCTTGGTGGAGCTGGGGGCTAAACAGGGGGACAGGGAGCCCCTCTGAACCCCAGTGGTAGCCTGTTCTTCCTTTGTCCTCCCAAGCATCACAGTGGTCACCTGGAATGTGGGTACTGCCATGCCCCCGAATGACGTGACATCTCTGCTGCACCTCAACACGGGCGAGACAAATGATGTGGACATGATTGCCATTGGGTAAGAGGGTGAGGTGTGGGGCTCCCTCCCCTGCCCTGGTGTATCCCTTTTTGAGGGATCCCTGAGGGGTGAGGCATGGGAGAGCTGCAGCCCCAGCCTCCCTGGGGCATGGGGAGCAGGGAGGGGTGTGCACTGCAGGTAGTAAAATATCATAAAAGGTGATAGAGAATCAGCCCCTGGTGAAATGGCGAGTGCCAAGAGCAACCAAAACCTTTGAGTCCTGATTAGGATTGAAACCTGGATGAGCCTGAGACTGGCTGTGCTGGGCAGAGTGACCTCTGCTCTTGCTGTGAGCCGCGGCAATCCTGGAGTCAGGCTTTAGCCCACCTGCCCGAGTTCCCTGGGAGCCTTTTCCTCCTCTCTACTTTTGCCCGTGGTATGCAGGCCTCAAGGGCACAGATCTGTTGTTCTCCCACAGCTGGATTGGCTCCGTGCCCCTGGCACATGGAGCTGCTGGCAAGGCAGCGCCACGGCGCTGTGGTGAGGCTGGCAAGGAGAGCTCTGCCAGCGTCTGAGGGCAGACTGGTCCCTCGAGGTCTGTGGTGGTGCGTGGATTCCTGTTAAGGCCAGGGATGTGCTGCTTTTGCACAGGGAGTGGGAACCAAGCTCTGCCTCCAGGCGTGAGGTAGAAGAGCTGGATCTGCCTCCAGGAGGCTCCCGGGGCTGCCCTGGAGCTCCCAGACCAGGGGATAGTGGCATAAGGCTGACACTGCCAGAGCTATGATGCTGTGTTGGAGCCAGTCTCCCAGTCCCCTCGGCCTTATGGACCAGAGGGATGGGGCTGTGTGGGCTGTGGAGGTCAACCTGAGCTGGGTGGGTGGTGTAGCTGATAGCAAGGGACCTGCTGGGACCGTGTCCGGGCTGGGACAGGGTGTCCTGCCCCTCCTACCTCCTGGCGTCTCTGCCTGGCTGTGTCCTTCCTCTGACCTGTGTCTTTGTGCCCTGAGCACTTGATATTTTTGGGCAAGACATTTCCTGATTCTGCTGTTCTCTGCGGACGTTCTTCCCTCTCTTCACTAATTGCTGAGCCGGGAGGAGCACTATTAACCTTCTGGTTGCTGCTGCTCTGAGCTGGGTGGTTCAGATGCATCTGGACGCCCTGTGCTGGTGAGACTTGACTTCTCTGTAGAGACTGATGCAGCTGAAAGGCCCCGTAAGCTCCTCCTGCACCCTGAGATGGGATTTTAGGCTTTTGCCCAACCCTGTGCAGCTGAACTGCTTCTGCTTTAGAAAGGGCCAAGGCCTTCTGGGTTCAGGGCCACTTGTGCCTCCTGCCAGCTCATGGCCCAGCATCACTGGAGCAAGGACATAGCTGGTTTGTGCTCTAAACCCAGGGCTTGCCCTTCCTGCCCTGTTCTGCTCCCCAGCATTGTGCTTTGGTACCTCTCCCAAGGAGCTCTTATACTAAGCTGGGACACAGATGCTTTCCTGGTGTGGCTGAGGGACCTGTCCCTTCCTCCCAGGCTGCAGGAGGTGAACTCCAAGATAAACAAGCGCCTGAAGGATGCCCTCTTCACAGATCAGTGGAGTGAGCTCTTCATGGATGTGCTGAGCCCCTTCCACTTCATCCTGGTAAGGGGTTCTGAAGGAGCTGGCAGCTGGTGTTCCCTCTGCCTGCCAGGCAGGTGGACCATAGGGAGAGAGAGTTGCAGTGCAGGATGGAGGGAGGTGCAGTGGGAGAGCTGGCTGGAGGGACAGCCTGCAGCCATCCCAGCAGCGTGTGGGAGCTGGCACTGCATCTCGCCAGGAGCTTTCTGGCTTGTGCCACCCTGTTCCTTTTCCTGTGCTTCTGTTTCCACTGTGTTGCTTTGGGGCCGTTTCTTGTTGCCCACTGCACCAAACCAGGGTGAGGAGGTGAATGTGGAAACTGGCCTGAGCTGCTGGCAGCAGCCTGCAGGCCCCAGGGCAGGTTCAGCTCCCTGAGGCACTCACCCCAGAGTATACATAAACTTGGCATGGCTGAGGCTCAGTCTCGACTGTCAGTATGTAGGAGAGTGTGCACTGATCTCTGAACTGAACGTGCTGTTAGTCACATGCAGGATGGGAAGGGTGGAGGTGCTGCCTCGTGGCCCGGAGAGGGGAGTTGTCCTTGCTCCTTCAGGCTTCCTACCATCCTGCTCCAGCCCCTGCTCCCGTTCCAGGTCAGCACAGTGCGGATGCAAGGTGTGATCCTGCTGGTATTTGCCAAGTACTACCACCTGCCCTTCCTGCAAGACATCCAGACAGACTGCACCAGGACAGGGCTGGGGGGCTACTGGGTGAGTGTGGCCCTGGGGGGAGGTGGCAAGGGGCTGGTTTCCCAAGGAGTCATGGGATCCTCTCGGTGCAGGGCAACAAGGGTGGGGTGAGCGTTCGTCTCTCCATCTTCGGCCACATGGTCTGCTTCCTGAACTGCCACCTGCCAGCACACCTGGAGAAGGCGGAGCAGCGCAAGGAGGACTTTGCCACCATACTGCACTTGCAGCAGTTTGAGGGGCGTGTGGCCAACGGCATCCTGGACCACGAGTGCGTACCCCACCACTTTGCTCTCCAGTCTGGGCTGGCGCTCTAGTGCCAGCCCCTGTCCTTGACCCCCTCCATGTAGGATCTGGGGTTTGTCCCCTGCACCCCAGCACAGCTTGGAGATTAGGTCTTGCCTGCAGAGCTGCAGAGTTGTCCCATGGGCCAGTGGGGACTCAGCACGGTGGGGTGGGTGTTTAGAAGGGTCTCCCCTGAGGCACATCCAGGCCTGGTGCATCTCCTGCCACACTAGCACTGTTGGGATTTGGGACTGGTGGAGTGGAGAGTGCAGCTCTGCCACAGTGTCCTGGCTGTGTGGTCTGACTCTGATGGGTGCCTCGCTGTGGAAATTTCCACCCTCAGTTTCTGCCTGGGGAGGTCAGGTCTATTTGGTTAATGGTGCCTGGTCCTACCTGTGGAATCCTGGCAGCTGGCCATGCTGCTGGCTGAGCACTGACCTGTATCTATGCTCCTGAGAACACCTGTGCTGTGGGGCTGAGGCTGCCTGCAGGCTAGGCATGTTTTTCCCTTGCTGCCCCCAGCTCTAATTCCTCAGCCCTTTCAGCCCACTGCTCTCCCTCCCACCCACAGCCTTGTGTTTTGGTTTGGGGACCTCAACTTCCGCATCGAAAGCCTGGACATCTGCTTTGTGAAGTATGCCATCGAGAGCAACGCCCTGAGCCAGCTCTGGGAGAAGGACCAGGTGAGGGATGGGCACTCTGCCAGCATCCACTGGGCCTAGAGTGGTGTCTGAGTCCTGCCAAAACTGCCCATGCAGCTGTGGGACAGGGCATGTCCCCTTGCAGACTATGGGGCATCAAGGGCCCTGGCTCTCCTGGCTCCTTGGGGAAGGGGCAGCAAAATCCTAGGGTGGTCTGGATGGAGCTGGGCACATGCTTCCCTTATCAGTGTGTGAGCACGAGCTGGGGTGTTGGGTCTGTGTTCTGGCTGCTGGCATGGATGGGCACTCTGAGAGCTGCGGGAGCTGTCAGGAATGGGGCAGGGATGTAACTGTGTATGAGGGTGGAGAGATCTCAGGGGGCTGCAGAGGGGTCTGGCCATGGGGGCTGCTGCGCTCCCTGACCTGCTCTCTTCCCCACAGCTGAATATTGCCAAAAGCACCTGGCCTGTTCTCAGAGGCTTTCAGGAGGGACCCCTGAACTTCCCACCCACCTTCAAGTTCGATGTGGGCACCAACAAGTATGACAGCAGGTAGGAGAGCAGAGCTGTGTGTGAGCTTGGGCAGGGATGTTGCAGCTCAGAGCTGGGGTGGGTGCTGGTGTGGGTGGGTCAGGGGAACTGCTGTGCAGGGGCAGGCGTGGGCTGGACTGGGGAGGTCAGGCACTGGGGACTGGACAGGGATACAACTGCTGTCCTGGTGCCTGCACAGGTCTGTCCCTGCAGCTGCACTGAGCCGAGTGCCGAAATGAGCTGTATTCCCTGCCTATGTGTGCTGTAGTGCCAGGGGGAGGCAGTTTGGGTCAGAGCCCACTGCCCCTGCCAGGCAAGAGATGCCCCTCTGTGCCCCGCAGTGCCAAGAAGCGAAAACCTGCCTGGACCGACCGTATCCTGTGGAAGATCAAAACCCCCAGCACGGGGCTGGGGGCGGGCGGGCCCCGGACCCGCCCGCGCCC